GAATGACTTAACTCCCCAATCCAGTGGTTGTATTTGGAGGTAAAAATACAACTTTTACTGTGGGGTCACATCCAGTAAAGCTTGTGGATGAGTATGGGAATTATCAAGAATGAAGAGAGCCTTGAATGCAAGGTTCTTGCTGTGCAATAAAACTTGACTTCAGGAATAAAGTGATGCTTAAACCAATCAATAAATATTTCCTCTGTCATCCATGCTAACTGGTTTGACCTCCAAATTACTGGTAAGGTGTTTTTATCTACATCTTTCAAAGCACAAGGATTCTTAGAGCAGTAAATAACCATGAAATCACCTGATGCATACCACAAAGGAGCAAGGTGAAGCGGTCCTTTGCTGCCTTGAAGCCCGGGGTACTCTTCTTTTGCTGACTGATATAAGTTCATGTTTGCATTTTTTCCCAAAAAACACTTGTCTTGTCAGCATTAAACATTTGATGTGGCTCATAGCCACCCTCAGAAATAATTTCCTGCAATTCAGCAGGAAAATTACTTGCTGCTGTATGATCAGCTGAAGCACTTTCACTAGAAAACTTGATATTTATTAAACAACTGTAAGGCCTTTTCCCTAATTAAGAGGAAATTAAGTGGTCCACCTTTCTTTTCTTTTGTTCAATCCACTCAAGCAACAAGTTTCCTTCAACTTGTCTGTTTTCAAAACCATTCATCACAACAAATTTTCTGTTTTATTTACTTGTTGGGACCTACGTGTCATTCTTTTCATGAGATGACATCTTGGGTTATTCATAACACAAGTTCGTATATTCGCCTCATTCTTTTTAATTGTACGAACCGACGCTTCATTAAGGCCATAGGCCCTCACTATATCCACCACACGTGATCCACTCTTAAGCTTGTCTAATATCTCAATTTTCTTCGCAATTCCTAGACTTGAACGCTTAAACCTTTTCTTGTCACTTTCAGCAACACTTGTATGCTTACTGGGTGCCATTATTGCTTGGCAGATTTAACAAATGGCAATGAAATTAAGAAAATACGAATTTAAATAAACACAGCTAGGTTCCCAAGTACCTTCATCCTGCACGCATATGATCTGAGCTGGAGACTGGAAGCGTGGTGGGGGTGGGTTTGGGTGGCAGGGGGATGGCAGTAGGCCTCCCCCATTGACTCAATGGTTTAATCCACTGTGTGTGACCGCGAGCTCAAAATTTTTTCCCCTCCCGCAAATTGTGTTAAATTGATCATACGACGTGTTACATAAAAATGTGTCGCAATTCTTGAATCATGCTATACTCAAATCGTGCCAAATAAACTCATGCTAAATGATGGTCTACTGTATTACCGAGTAAGCGGCAGTCGCCAATGTTTCCACAACCGGTTCACTTTGTCAACTTCACACCTCTATATCTCGGTAAGTAGGGTGTGCAAAGGTAAAAAGTTGAAAGTGAACATAGATAAGAGTAAGGTGATGAGGGTATCAAATGATTTAGATAAAGAAAAATTGGATATCACATTGAAGAGTAGTAGTATGGAAGAAGTGAATGTTTTCAGATATTTGGGAGTTGACTTGTCAGCAGATTGGTTTATGAAGGCTGAGGTTAACCATAGAACTGATGAAAGAAAAAAAGGTGAGTGGTGCGTTGAGGCATCTGTGGAGACAAAACGTTATCCATGGAGGCAAAGAAGTGAATGTACGAAAGTATAGTGATACCAACACTCTTACATGGGTGTGAAGCTTGGGTTGTAAATGCTGCAGCGAGGAGGCGGCTGGAGGCAGTGGGGATGTCCTGTGTAAGGGCAGTGTGGTGTAAATATTATGCAGAGAATTCGAAGTGTGGAAATTAGATGGAGGTGTGGAGTACTAAAAGTATTAGTCAAGAGGGCTGAAGAGGGGTTGAGGTGGTTTGGCCATTTAGAGAGAATGGATCCAAGTAGAAAGACCTGGAGAGTGTATAAATCTGTAGGGGAAGGAAGGCAGGGTAGGGGTCGACCTCGAAAAGGGTGGAGGGAGGGAGTAAAGGAGGTTTTGTGGGCGAGGGGCTTGGACTTATACCAAGCATGCGTGAGCGTGTTAGATAGGAGTGAATGGAGAAAAATGGTATTTGGGACCTGACGAGCTGTTGGAGTGTGAGCAGGGTAATATTTAGTGAAGGTTATTTTTATATAGCTGGACTTGAGTCCTAGAAATGGGAAGTACAATACCTGCACTTTAAAGGAGGGGTTTGGGTGGTGCACTTAGGAGTCTGTGGAGACAAAGAACTTTGTCCTTGGAGGCAAAGAGGGGAATGTATGAGAGTATAGTTTTACCAACGCTCTTATATGGGTGTGAAGCGTGGGTGATGAATGTTGCAGCGAGGAGAAGGCTGGAGGCAGTGGAGATGTCATGTCTGAGGGCAATGTGTGGTGTGAATATAATGCAGAGAATTCGTAGTTTGGAAGTTAGGAGGAGGTGCGGGATTTACCAAAACTGTTGTCCAGAGGGCTGGGGAAGGGTTGTTGAGGTGGTTCGGACATGTTAGAGAGAATGGAGCGAAACAGAATGACTTCAAGAGTGTATCAGTCTGTAGTGGAAGGAAGGCGGGGTAGGGGTCGGCCTAGGAAGGGTTGGATGGGAGGGGGTAAAGGAGGTTTTGTCTGTCGAGGTGGCTTGGACTTCCAGCAGGCATGCGTGAGCGTGTTTGATAGGATGTAATGGAGACAAATGGTTTTTAATACTTGACGTGCTGTTGGAGTGTGAGCAAAAGTAACATTTATGAAGGGATTCAGGGAAAACGGCAGGCCGGACTTGAGTCCTGGAGATGGGAAGTACAGTGCCTGCACTCTGAAGGAGGGGTGGTGGTTAAGTTGCAGTTTAAAAACTGTAGTGTAAAGCACCCTTCTGGCAAGACAGTGATTGGAGTGAATGATGGTGAAAGTTTTTCTTTTTTAGCCCCCTTTGCCTTGATGGGAATCGTGCCGGCATTTGTGATAATAAAAAAAAAAATAAAATGTTACATATGCTTCTAAACTGTTGTATCTGGGTGCCTCTGCAAAGATCGTGATTATGTGAGAGTGTGGTGAAAGTGTTGAATGATGATGAAAGTATTTTCTTTTTGGGGATTTTTTTTTTCTTTCTTTTTGGGTCACCCTGCTTCAGTGGGAGACAGCCAACTTGTTGAAAAAAAAAATTAGATTTACTGTTCTTCAGACAATTGTGTAATATGTAATACTAGTAACTGTATAAATAATATCAGCACATTTGTAAATGCATATTAGACCCACCAGTTGATGTGTATTGGACGAGTGATGAGATTTTTTTATTCTTGAACAGTGTCAAAAATCAAACATTTCCACTAATTTGAACTCAATTTCAAGCTACTTTCATTCGATAAACCATTCTAAACCACATTTTATTTTTCTAACATCTTCTATTCTATCAAATGAGACCAAGAAAACGAGAATACAAATATAAATACCACACAAAAATACACCGCAAAATCGCCATTTTAAACCAAAAACACGATCGCAGTTTTTTTTCTCATTATGCACTGCTTGCTGCAGGATTGGATTTTTTTTATACTGCGGGATTTTTTTTTTATACTGCACACACTAACCACACAGACCCATTCTCTCATATGAAAGCCTACCAAATTTCTCCCAGAAGATATGAAGCCACTAGAATTTTGGCATAGTATTACGGGACCGACACTGACTTCAAAGCCATAATATTTACAGCACTGACAACGAAAAGGTTAACCAAGAACTCTGTAATGCCATAAATCCATGTGCAAAGGGCTTAGACCTCCAGCAAGTGTGCATGAGCGTGTTAGGCATGAGCAAGTGGAAGCAAATGGTTCTTGTGACTTGATGTACTGTTGGAGTTTGAGTAAAGTAACATTTATGAAAGGATTCAGGGAAACCAGTTAGCCAGACTTGAGTCCTTGAGATGGGAAGTACAGTGCCTGCACTCTGAAGGAAGGGTGGAGATATGTTACAGTTTTTGAACTGTAGTATAAGCACACCTCTGGCAAGACAGTGATGGAGAGCATGATAATGAAAGCATTTCTTCTTTTTCGAGTCACCCTGCCTTTTGGGAAACAGCCAATGTGTTAAAGAAAAAATCCACACTTCCTTTCAAGGTTAATGTTGCAAATGAATATACAGTTACGCGTTAACTTTTATAATACGGCAGGACCCGCGTATCCATGGGGGATATGCTCAAAGGACCTGCTGTGGGTACCAAAACCGTGGATAGTAGCAAACCCTATATATAAGTCCTATACATACCTAAAGTTTAACTGATAAATTATATACAATAAGTGGAGAATTTTCACTTTTTCATTGATGAGAAGCACTTCATGGCTTCTCTTGGGCTTTGAAGAAATGCCAGCTTCTCTACTTTTACGTTTTGGAGCCATTACTATGCAAAATTAAGAGGCAATTTTGGGCCACAGTAAACCATGGATAACAAACTATGTATACCCAATCAGTGGATAAGGGGGTTCTACTGTACTTATGAAGAATGACAAGACCACTGAAGACCTAAAAGGAGTTCCTCTAAAATTTTACTCTTTCCTTCACAAGAACTTACCACACACCAGAATTTAAAATTTCATCAGCAGTATATACATTTGCATACAAGTTAAAATAGAAATTATTCAGGAAAGCATGCTGTGTTAGCAGTGCTGATCAGTACATTAATAATACAAAATATACCATCACCCAAGGTAACAAAAACACTTCATACCCACAAGAGTGGCATGTGAGTACAATATCACATCCCATCCATCCCATTAAATGAGTTTTAGTCACAGTAAACCTTCAATTTAACAGGAAAAAATCTGTTAGTTACAAAATAACAAGCACGACAAAACAATCTCATCTCTATCCACCATGACTGCCATTACCATCCGCCAGTTCCCCCATATTAGAGTGTCAAATCAAAGACTTACTGTGTATCTTCATATAAATTTTGGCACAAAAAATATAAACTACTGCTAGTGCATTACTTTGAGTGATGGTAAAAGCATGTGTGTGTGTACTCACCTGATGGCCCCGGGAAGGTCTCCAGCTGCGAGGATCCTGCTGCTGCTGCGGCTGCTGCTGCTGCATATGGCACAAAGTTTTGTACTGCTGCTGAGAGGTGTTGAGGCAGCCCATGTAGGTCTGGAGCCGCGGTATTGGACATGTCATGGTCTACAGAGTCCTCTTCGTGTGGCTCCTCGACCTCATGGTCACTACTGCCCTCCCCTTTACAACCACTGCTGCCTCTACCAGGCCCATCCTCCTCAGATATATTTAACTCAGTCTTGGGTATTAGCCTTGGGGATGGTGAACCTCCACTGCCAGAGTTGCTGGCACCCATAGTTAAGTTGATTACTCTACCAGATTTATCGTCGTCAAGTGAGGCAGTGGAGGTAACAGGCGGTGCTTGTGAAATAGAATTCAATTGTTGTATTGGTGGTGTTGGTATAGGGGGCCCTCCAAGTGGTGAATGGAGAGGTTTGCGTCTCTTTGCTGGTGGTGAATGCAAAAGGTGCTGTGACTTGTGGCTTGGTGGCTCCAGGGAAACGAGAGGATTAGCAGGGGCCAGGACTGACGCACCTATCCCAGAGAAGGCAAGACTTAGCGCTGGGGACCCAGGCCCTCCACGGCACTCCCCTCTGTCCAGACTATCTTCTGGCTCCTTCTCAGGACTACTTGTAAGGCTACCAAACTGAGAATAGAAAACAAAATTTGAACATTAAACCCTTTATCTATATACAGTGATGTGGATGAAACTACAGAACATTAAAAAAATTAAGCTATAACATCTTGTAAAAACAACACTATACATATGGTACTATCTGCACATCATACAGGAGATTCCAAAATATCAAGTGCGTTATGTTCAAAAAAAATCAGTGACTCATACGAAATCAAAATATGTGAATAACAAATGGAAAAAACTAAGTTACATTTTTGACATTTAAAAATAAAAAAGCCAAACTTTTTTTTTTAAACAAACTGGCCATCTGCCACCAAGGTAGGGTGACCCCAAAAAAAGAAGAAAAACTTTCATCATCACTCACTCCATCATTATCTTGTCAGAAGGGCACCAATACTACAATTCAAAACTGCAAATATCCCCACCCCTCCAGAATGCAGGCATTGTACTTCCCACCTCCAGGACTCAAGTCCTTGTCAAAAATAATAGTTCTTCACACCTTAAATTGTAGTTGTCATTGCCACTGGCCATATGCTAGGAAGATCTGTCTCCTACTCAACCCAACTCACTCATATATTTATTACCTTAACCCTTTGAGGGTCGACAGGCCCTCTCCGAGACTCGTTCTCAGGGTCGGCCAAATTTAAAAAAAAAATAATAATTTTTTCTTATGAAAAGATAGACAATCTTTTCCCGATCATAACAACACCAAAAATATGAAATTTGATGGAAAACTTACGGAATTATGCTCTCGCAAAGTTAGCGGTCTCGGCGATGTTTACGGATCGGCGATTTTGCCCACTGAGCCCCATTTTTGGCCAGTTCCACTGTACTAGTCGACAAAAAAACATGAATATTTCGCTAGAACTCCATTTTTTCTATTGAATGAGTGCAAGAAACCACCCATTTACCAATTTCAACTATCCAGTACAGTGGTCAGAATTTAGCAATTTTGCCAATTTCACACAAATTTCAAAAGATGCCAATTTCCGAATAGGGTCCAGAACAAACAAGAAATACATTCCTGGCACTAAAATGACATTTCCTCTGTTCATTAGTCACATCTCAAGGCCCCTCTAACATTCTTTTGCTTTCCACTTTGAATTTTTATTCTCACAAAAAATAGAAGATTTACTGTTATGCAGACTACTGCATTAGTGTAAAAAATGGTATGAATCATATTGGCACACTTGCAAAAGAATATTAGACTCACCAGTTGATGTGTATTGGACGCTTGGCATGATTTGTTTACTTTTGAACTTTGGTAAAAATCGAACATTTTTGCTACTCTGAGCTTAATTTCAAGGTACTTTTCATTGTAAAACCAGTCAAAATCATCTCAATTTCTATGATATGCCTTCCATTCTACAAAATGAGACCAAGAAAACTAGAATACAACAATAAATATCATACGAAAATACAGTGCAAAGTCGCTGTTTTATTCCAAAAAAACGGTCAAAGTTTTTTTTTTCTCATTATTAATGCACTGTGTACTGCAGGATTTTTTTTATACTGTGCACACTGACCACATAGACCCATTCTTTCATATGGAGGCCTACCAGCTTTCTCCCACTAGGTTGAGGGCGGTAGAATTTAGGCACACTAGTATGTCAAAAACCCTAGGTCATAAGCCGTACTAGTACGTCCGAAACCCTCAAAGGGTTAAGAACAGAGCAGCAATGGCGCAGGCCTACTGGCCCCCCACAAGATCCTTCTCAAACCCAACCCACATTTCCTGACCAAACTGACCCAATGGTTGCTGCTGTTTGTTGATATGTATGTGTATGTAGAAGATTAATGTGGCCCTATACATGTATAAACATGTGGCAAACATCACCTACAAACACCACTACCATCACCTGCAAACATTGGTAAAAATGTAAAACATATCCTTACTAAATTATCCCAAACACTAGGAACTCACCACACCTATATCTAATGAACACACTACAGATGAATGCATTTGAGAAAAGTAATAACCAAAAAAATGCTAATAGTATTGCAATAAAAATGTGTGAGATCTGTTAACATTGTTGTTTAAGGTTCAAAGGGACACCAAAGATTACATCTTATTATGCCAGATGCTTCCATACACTCCATGCAAGTCAGCAGTCAGCTCTTTCTTAGGCCACAAAAATCCCTGAAGTGAAATGCTTTCATGACTGAGCAACCTTTTTTAAAACTTCATGGAGCAGTCATGTGGTCAGTTTTCCAAGAAATGTGATCATGGGAACAAAATTTCAATTGTGATTTGTGATGCCCTTTTGATTTTAGTTTCGTGCAGAACCTCTACAATGAAAATTAACTATGATTTTCTTCAAAATGTGCTCAATAGCTTTTCTACATACCAATTTTCAATAAAGACAATCTGGTTGGTTCCACTATTTGCAGACTATCAGAAGCCTTTTCTAAATCCATGTAAGCAACGAAAATTTCCTTGATTTTATTCTAAACATTATTCACTTGAATGCTTCAATACAAACACTTGGTCTATACATCCCCAGCTCTTTCTAAAGCCTCCTTGTTCATCTCTACCATACACTTTACCTGGTACCTTAGATGTACCTTTGATGAGGCTAGCACGAGACAAGCCTGGCCATGGGCCAGGCTTGTCTCGTGCTAGACTTGTACTAGACTTCTACACTTGTTCCACCAATGTTTCTGATATCCTCTGGTAAGATACAGAATATCTTGGGGCCACAAATGTTGATAGTTTTCCCTTGTTGTGCCTACTGCACCCCTGCTTTTCACTGTGTCTATTTTGCACTTCCTCCAGTCTCTCTTGCTCTCTTGGCAGTGTGCAGATTTGAGACCAGGCCTTTGAGTATTTTCCAAGTACGTATATATATTATCATGTATCTCTCCTCCACTCCAGTACATATTAAAGACCTCAAAGCATTCCCAGTAATTTAAATGCTTTACTGGCTCTATGTGGGGCATAAACGACCTTCGTATTTGTTCCAGTGGAAAAGCTGCTTCTCCACTGATATGCCGTATTCTATTCAAGATTGATGGACTGAACACATCGACTCAAGGTTGAGGGACTGATTACCTCATTCTCCTCCTGTTCTTCAAGTTTCTCCTACGTATGGATTGATGAAGCCACTGTGTGGCGAAACGTTTCCTCAATAAAGATCCCCAAGAGTTGCACATGTGTCTAATTTATCAATGCATAATTTGTTGTAATACAGATAAAGTACATTCATAAATACAATATTCTAAAAAATCACTAACCCTTTCACTGTTGAGTGCCTGCTCACAAACTTGCTCTCAGTGTCAAAAAATATTCAAAAGAAAAAAAAAATTTTTTTTTCTTACCAAAATCTTAAGAATAATTTTCTGAGTTTTATAAAAGAACTTTTTTTTTTTTTTTTTTTTTTGCAATCAGTAGTTACCGAGATATAGAGGCATGAAGTTGACAAAGTGAACCACTTATGGCAACATTGGCGACTGCCACTCTAATATTATTTTTACTTTTATTGTATTTTTTTCTTTTCTAATATTTTATTTTCTTCAAGTAACTTTTCTGGCCTGTGAGACCAATATAATGCATAATGTATACATATCCACTCGTTGTATGTAACACAACTGCACAAATATTGTTATCATTACATATATTGTTTACAGAGCTTGTTCACACAAATGCACGCTGCCTTCCCCACACCCATGCTGTCTTTCCCACACCCACGCTGCCTTCCCCACACCCATGCTGTCTTTCCCACACCCACGCTGCCTTCCCCACACCCATGCTGTCTTTCCCACACCCATGCTGCCTTCCCCACACCCATGCTGCCTTCCCCACACCCATGCTACCTTCCCCACACCCACGCTGCCTTCCCCACACCCATGCTGTCTTTCCCACACCCACGCTGCCTTCCCCACACCCATGCTGTCTTTCCCACACCCATGCTGCCTTCCCACACCCATGCTGCCTTCCCCACACCCATGCTACCTTCCCCACACCCACGCTGCCTTCCCCACACCCATGCTGTCTTTCCCACACCCACGCTGCCTTCCCCACACCCATGCTGTCTTTCCCACACCCATGCTGCCTTCCCCACACCCATGCTGCCTTCCCCACACCCATGCTACCTTCCCCACACCCACACTGCCTTCCCACACCCATGCTGTCTTTCCCACACCCACGCTGCCTTCCCCACACCCATGCTGTCTTTCCCACACCCATGCTGCCTTCCCCACACCCATGCTGCCTTCCCCACACCCATGCTACCTTCCCCACACCCACGCTGCCTTCCCCACACCCACACTGTCTTCACCACCACCCACACTGGAAATAAGTCACTGTGTCTGACTTTTCTGGGTTATCCTAGGTTCTCTGCACATGCTGCTATGTATGATAATCTATGTACAGTGGACCCCCGAATTTCATGATTAATCCATTTCAGAGTCTGCCGAAAGTCTAAATTCACAAATTTCAAAACCATTTTCCCCACAAGAAATAATGTAAAACAAATTAATCCATTCCAGACACCCAAAAGTATAAACAAAAATTATTTTTTTTAAAGATTAAATATAGATTTACATACAGAAAAGAATGAGAAATCAAGTATAAACCAATAATATCACACTTACCTTTAATGAAGACTCTTGTTGGTGTATGGAAGTCGGGAGGTGGGAAGAGGATGGAGAAGTGATGCTACTGTGGAAGGGAAATCCCCTTCCATAAAGACTTTAGGTACCTAGACCTCAAGTCCTTATCTGGGGTTACTTCTCTTCTTTGTTTTTTTAATGCCACTAGGACCAGCTTGAGAGTCACTGGACCCCTGTCGCTCAAAAAATTGTTCCAGAGAGCTCCAATTCTGATGTCTCTTTAAAATTTGCCTAAAATGGGACAAGGCACTGTCACTGTACATGTTGCCCACATGGCTTGCAACAGCTTTGTTATGGTGATGTTCCTCCACAAATGTTTGCAGCCTACCCCACATTACACAAATCTCCTTAATCTCTGAAGAAGGCACCTTCTTCCATCTCTCTTCCTCTTCCTGTGAAGCAATTTCCTCAGCTGTGGTCTGTTGCTTCTCTGTTGCAGCTCTTCAGTGGTTAGCTCTTCATTGTGGTCCTGCACCAACTCCTCCACATCCTCGTCACTCACATCCAACCCCATGGAATTCCCCAATGCCACAACTGATTCCACAACAGGTGTAGGGTCAACAGGGTCAGCCTCAAACACTTCAAAATCTTTCTCTTCGACACATTCTGGCCACAATTTTCTCCAAGCAGAGTTCAAAGCCCTGAAAGTCACTCCCTCCCAAGCCTTATCTATAAGGCTTATGCAATTGAGGATATTGAAGTGATTCCTCCAGAACTCTCTTAGGGTTAATTCAGTGTCTGAGGTCACATCAAAGTACCTTTGAAACATTGCTTTGGTGGAGAGTTTTTTGAAGTTTGAAATGATCTACTGGTCCATGGGCTGGATGAGAGGAGTGGTATTAGGGGGCAAGAACTTCACTGTGATGAACCTTAACTCCTCTGCCATTTGGTCATCCAAGTCTAGAGGATGAGCAGGAGCACTGTCCATTACCAGGAGGCACTTGAGTGGCAATTTATTTTCCAGGAGGTATTCCCTCACACTCAGGCCAAACACTTCACTGAACCAATCAAGGAAAATTTCCCTTGTGATCCATGCCTTACTGTTAGCCTTCCATATCACACACAATTTACTCCAGGAAACACTGTTTTTCATGAACACTATGGGATTTTCAGAGTAAAGGCTTCACTTTGAAATCCCTATTAGCATTACCACAAAACAAGAGAGTTAGCCTGTCTTTCATAGGCTTGTGTCCTGGCAGTACCTTTTCATCCTGCGTGATATAGGTCCCCTTTCGCATTTTCTTCGAAAAGGGGCCTGCTTTATCACAATTGAACACTTGTTGGGGGAGGACTCCATCTTCTACATACACCTTGAATTCATGCACAAATTTTTCAGCCGCACATCTGTCAGAACTTGCAGCCTCACCATACTTTGTATGCCACTACGCTTCTTAAATCTCTCAAACCAGCCTTTGCTGCCCTTAAAGTCACTAACATGCCCTTAAATTCACTAACATCAGCACTCGTTCCAGGCATTTTCTTTACGAGATCAGCATGCAACTGCCTTGCCTTTTCACAAATTATCAACTACATAACACTATCTCCTGCTAACTGTTTTTGGCTGATCCACACCAACAACAAATTCTCAACATCTTTGATTATTTGTGATCTCTTTTTTGTGAGTATATCTACCCCTTTCACAACAACAGCTTCCTTGATTTCCTTTTTCTTCACCACGATGGAAGTGATTGTTGAATGGGACTTCCCGTACATCCTGCTCAAGACGGTCACATGCACTCCACTTTCACATTTTGCGATAATTTCTTTCTCTAATTCTATCGTGTTTCTCTCCTTTACCAAAGGGCTGGCACTAGGATCTTTCTTTGGGCCCATGGTGGCTTATTTAGTAGTTGCAAGCACAAAAAAGAATGAATTATTAGGAAATGTATCATATGAACACATGGGGTGATGGTCACTTGCCCAGAAACAATGCCACACTGACTGAATGGTGTGTGGAAGCCTTTGTGTACACACGCCCACTGGGAGACCGCTCCGACGCATTCCGTATGATCTCCGAATTTTGAGGCAAATCATGAAACGTGAGGCTATATTTTGACAAAAAAAATTGCCGAAAGGCAAAATTCATGAAGCGCAGGGCTCATGAAACTCAGGGGCCCACTGTAACTGTATTCGTGTATACCTGAATAAACTTACTTACACACCATCTTCCCAACCAACCATGCCGTCTTCCCCACCCACACCATCTTCCCCACCATCCATGCTATCTTCCCCATCACCCACACTGTCTTCCCTTTTCACTATCAGTATCTGGTATCCTGGGCATTGCTTTCAGTCACAAATTCCTCAAACCAAAAATTCATTTTCACTGACACTTCATCTGTGCTAGAACTATCATTTGGGGAAGAGAAAAAGTCCCAAATTCACCAGGGAGTGAGGTTTTCCTTACCGCTAGGCATGGTGAACAAGGCGTACTAAATTTGGGCGTTCCACAATGCACTGCAGCCTCAAACTTTTTTCATACTGCAAACACTGAGCACACAGGCCTATTCTCTCACATGTAGACCTACCAGCTTCCTCCCACCAGATCTAAAGCTGCTAGAATTTTGGCGTAGTATTATGAGACCCGGCATTGGTTGCAAGCCATAATATTACGGGGCTGACAGTGAAAGGGTTTAATTGCATTCCAACCACATCCATATTTCATTCCAAGTCACAAAACAAAGGTCACACCAAATTTTTGAGAGAACTAAATTGTTTACCATTTAGGCAAAAAATGGATCATTTGGATTTGTAAGAAATTTGACCAAAACAACTGCATATCTGCTGAGCTTTCCATATACAACTTATGAAAATTAGAGACAAACGAAGAGATATAAGTTTTCATGACAATACAATGGAACCTCAGTTTTAATATGCCCTAGTCTGTATGTAAAACTACTATAGTTATTCTCTATAAAAATGTTTTTTTGTTAATTATTTTTGTGTGTCTGGAACGGATTAAAATTTGGGTTTACATTATTTCTTATGGGAAATATTAACAAAAAATACATTTTATAAAGAGTAACTATAGTTTTACAGACTATGGCATACGAAAACCAAGGTTTCCCCTGTCTAAGGAAGCACTTACCTGTTCATTATCACTAGTTTTTCTTGTCTTGAGCAAGTCCTTTAATTCTAAGTGCCTCTGCTGTTTTGAGAAGGAGCCCTAATCTTTCTTGAGATACATTAACTTCTCCCCTGGGATATGAAAACTCAATAGGGATTTTAATTCTAAAAAACTTGTATCACGCAACACTATAACCGGATTTCTGATAGCTGGTAAGTCCCGGAAAATATATAAAAGAAAATATTACTGTTTAACATCAAAACAGAAAACAGAATGAGATTTAAAAAAAAAATAGGTCAATCAGTGATCTCTTTAGGGTTTCAAAATGGGAAGTTTCAAACATTCGTATAATAATAGTGGTATAGGAGTTAAAATTTAAAGTGGGGGGTAATGAACCAAAGCAAGAAATTTGAGGAAAAAATTTCGAATTTCACCTAAAAAGTTAGCAGTTCCAACGATTTAGCCGTGATTTCGCCCCACTTTGACACTATTTTTGGCCAAAATAGTGAACTCCAAGTGTTCTATCAACTGAGTGCAAGAAACCGCCCATTTACCGATTTCAACTACCCAATAAAGTTGTCAGAAATGGCAATTTGGCCAATTTTGCACAAATCTCAAAAGATGTCAATTTCAAAATAGGGTCCAGAATAAACAATGCAGACATTCCTGGCACTAAAAAACATTTTCTCTGTTCATTAGTCACATCTCCAGGCCCCTCTTACATTAATCTTGCTTTCCATTTTGAATTTTTATTGACACAAAAAACAGAAGATTTACTATTATGCAGACTACTGCATTATTGTAATAACTGTTTAAATAATGTCAGAACATCCACACTTACTACTGGTGGTTCACAATTACACTCACTCACCAACTGACTATATACCCAGAAATACTAATCTTAATCTTAAAATAATAAATCCTAACTAGTCATAAGTTTGCCTTTAATACTCCAATATAGACACTTTGTATTGTGCCAAAACAAAAGCATTCACATTGCTAAACTCACAAATTATGATGTAGTCACTTAGCCTTAATACCATAATCTGTAAGGATTTAATGTTAAGAATAAATCTAAGTCTGCTCGAAATGCCTAGCCATGCTGGGTGTCCTAGTGGCCCCCTCTGTAATTAGTATTTTATAACATGTAAACCACACAATACCCAAAACCTGTAAACCCCACATTGTAACCCTTATAGAGAATAAACGAACTGAATTGAATTGAATTGAAAACCCAGTCATGACTGCGTATTAGACCTGCCAGCTGGACATATTGGACAGTGGCGTCATTTATTTACTCTTGAACATCGGCAAAAAACGAACATTTCCGATACTTTGAGCTTAATATCAAGGTACTTTTCATCATGAAACCAATCAAAATCATCTCTATTTCTGTAACATATCTTCCATTCTATCAAATAAGACCAAGAAAATGAGAATGCAACCATAAATACCATACAAAAATACACCATAAAGTCGGCATTTTAAACCAATAACACGGTCAGAGTTTATTCTCATTATGCACTGCATGCTGGAGATTTTTTTTATGCTGCACACACTGACCATGCAGACCCATTGTCTCACACGTAGGTCTATCAGCTTTCTCCCACTATATTTGAAGCCCCTAGAATTTTGATGTACTAGTATGGCACCAACACTGCCTAGTAAGCCGTATTATAATACAACACCGACAGTGAAAGGGTTAATAGTTGAAAGTGAACATAGATAAGAGTAAGGTGATGAAGGTATCAAACAATTTAGATAGAGAAAAATTGGAAATCACATTGGAAGGAGGGTATGTAAGAAGCGAATGTTTTCAGAAATTTGGGAGTTGACTTGTCAGCAGATGGGTCAATGAAAGATGAAGTGAATCATAGAACTGAAAAGGGAAAAAAAAAATTAGTGGTGTACTGAGTAGTCAGTGGAGACAAAGAACTTTCTCCATGGAAGCAGTGAGGGGAATGTATGAGAGTATAGTTATACCAACTCTTATATGGGTGTGAAGCATGGGTTTTGAATATTGCAACAAGGAGAAGGCTGGAGGCAGTGGAGATATCATGTCTTGAGAGCATGTGTGATGTGAATATAATGGAGAAAATTCGTAGTTTAGAAATTAGCAGGATGTGCGGGATTACCAAAACAATTCTCTAGAGGGCTGAGGAGGGGTTGTTGAGGTGGTTCAGACATGTAGAGAGGATGGAACAAAATAGAATGACTTCGAGACTGTATAATCTGTAGTGGAGGAAAGGCGGGGTAGAGGTCGGCCAAGGAAAGGTTGGGGGGAGGGGGGTAAAGGAGGTTTTGTGTACAAGGGGCTTGGACCTCAAGCAAGCATGTGTGAGCATGTTAGATAGGAGTACGTGAAGACTTGACATGCTGTTAGTGTGAGCAGGGTAATGTTTATTCAGGGAAACCAGCAGGTCGGACTTGAGTCCTGAAGATGGTAAGTACAGTGCCTGCAATCTGAAGGAGGGGTGTTACTGCTGCAGTTTTATAACTGTAGTGTAAGCATGCCTCTGGAAAGACAGTGATGGAGTGAATGATGGTGAAAGTTTTTGTTTTTTGGGCCACCCTGCCTTGGTGGGAAATGGTCGATGTGTTAATAAAAAAAAATTATAGTGTAAAAATGGCTAAATTACAAACTTCTGTGCACATTATGTAGTAGTTCTGATAGTTGAATGGGAAGTTTCTTGTGCTCAATCAGCAAAATGACTAGTTAGCAAAATTGGCACTGTGTAAATTGTGCCCTGGTAGCCAACTTTGCACTTGCTTAATTCTTTAAGTTTTCCATCAAATTTTGATTTTCAGTGTCATTACCTTCAGAAAATGATTCTCTACCATTTCAGACAATAATTCTCTTTTTAAAAGCAACCACTTTTAATTAACCAATTTTCTTGTCTGTTGATCAACATTTTCAGCTCAGCTCCCTCAGATAAGCTGAGTGTGGTAAATTTTGGCCTAGACATGAGACAATGGGTCTGCACAGTAAGTGTGAACAGTGTAAGAGAAATTATATCCCAAGCTGTGCATAATGGGCGAAGAAAACCTCTGACCTTGTGTTTGGTTGAAAATAATTAATATGGAGGTGAGTTCTAGGATGTTTTATGGTTTGACTGGTTGTTTCTTGGTATCATTTTCTAGAATGAAAAACCTACTATTGAAAGAGATGATTTTGGTTGGTTTCAGGAGTGTAAATAGCTTGAAATTGGGCTTAATGTAGCAGAAATATTTGACATCTGATTATCTTTGAGGATGGATAAGTGCTCTCCCCTTCCCCCTCTACAAATTATTGGAATGTCATAAACCATGACTAATCATCATTCTTGGTTATATTTTATTATTCGAGAAATAAGGTAACTCTTCAATTTTTGTGTGATAATTAATTCAAAATAAAAGGCAAGTGTAATATAGGCCAGGGTTTCTGACGTACTAGTATGGCTTACGCACCAGGGTTTTTGACATACTAGTACGCTTAAATTCTAGCGCCCTCAAATCTAATGAGAGAAAGCTGGTAGGCCTACATATGAAAGAATGGGTCTATGTGGTCAGTGTGCACAGTATAAAAAAAATCATGCAGCACACAGTGCGTAATGAGAAAAAAAACTGACAGTTTTTGGTTTAAAACAGTGACTTTGCACTGTATTTTCGTATGGTATTTATGATGGTATTCTAGTTTTCCCTGGTCTCATTACAGAAATTGAGACGATTTTTCCAAAGTTCAAAAGTAAACAAATCATGCTACGCATCCGATACACGTCAAGTGGCGAGTCTAATATTCTTTCACAAGTGAGCTGATATTATTTATACCATTTCTACACTAATGCAGTAGTCTGCATGACAGTAAATCTTCTATTTTTTGTAAGAATAAAAATATAAAGTGGAAAGCAAAAGAATGTAAGAGGGGCGTGGGGACGTGACTAATGAACAGAGGAAATGTTATTTTAGTGCCAGGAATGTCTTTCTTGTTTATCCTGGACCCTATTTGGAAATTGGCATCTTTTGAAATTTGTGTGAAATTTGCAAAATTGCTAAATTCTGACCACTTTATTGGATAGTTGAAATCGGTAAATGGGTGGTTTCTTGTACTCATTCGATAGAGAAAATGGAGTTCTAGCAAAATAGTTATGATTTTTGTCGACTAGTACACTGTAATTGGTCGAAAATAGGGCTCAAAGTGGGCAAAATCACTGATGCGTAAACATTGTCGAGGCTGCTAACTTCGCAAGAGTATAATTCCGTAAGTTTCCCATCAAATTTCATACTCTTGGTGTCATTATGATCGGGAAAAGATTCTCTATCTTTTCATAAGAAAAAAGTTTTTTTTTTTTTAATTTGTCGACCCTGAGAACAAGTCTGGGAGAGGGCCTGTCGACCCTGAAAGGGTTAATGAACAGAGGAAGTGATACTTTAGTACCTGCAAAGTCTACGGTGTTTATTTTCATCTGCTTAAATTTATATATACTGAATTTTTAACTGTAAAATTGACTGAATTACAAAGTTTTGTGATAGATGAATAGGTGGTGTCTTGTGTTCAACTGATGGAACAGAAGGAATATTAGAGAAATGGCTAAGAATTTGGTCAAACTGAGCTTTGGAATTGGCTTAAAATTGAACTTAAAATGGGCAAAATCACCAATGCATATACAGTGGAACCTCGGCTTACAAATTTAATCCGTTCCGTGACCATGTTCATATCCCGATTTGTTTGTACGCCGAGTCAATTTTCCTCATTTAAATTAATTAAAATGGCATTATCCGTTCCAGCAGAATTCCTGCTGTCAAGAGGCATGACAAAATACTTCAATATGATGCTAATATCAATTCTATGGCTTATTTATATATCATAATTCATCTAACTTCACCATCACTAAAGGAATGCACATGTGCATCATTGCCAATGTTCAGCATTTCTTCAATGTCAGCTTCCTGTAATTCCATTAGCACACAGTCAAGATGAGTAAATAGAACTGTCAATGTTTAATGCTTGGGTATGTCTATTCTGTTAAGTGGGTTGGATCTGTGAAGGACCTGCCTAGTATGGGCCAACAGGCCTATTGCAGTGTTCCTCCTTTCTTATGTTATTATGTACCCACGACACCAATCATACCCAGCCCCTCCCACTCAAAGGAACATAAGAATAGAGGAACACTGCAGAAGGCCTACTGGTCCATACAAGGCAGGTCTTTATCAAAACGACCTCTACCCAAAGCTACCCAAGAATT